TACGCACTTGTAAGACGGAGACAACACATGCGGGTATCATGTTCTCTTAAAATAGATGTATGTATGCATAAAATAATAATGATTTATAATATAAAAGTATAACAGTAGTTTACAAGTCATTTATTGTATCCTTGTTTTTTAGTTTTATATTTTATATGATATTCTTTAGCCATGATTTTAATTTTGTTATTATCTGTTCGGCTATCAGCTCCAGAAAGCACACGATTAATATTTTTGCACMAAGTAAATAAAAAAAAAGCAATCATTTTTTGTATTAACATTTGCTTTAAATTATGAGTTGTACATGAAAAATTAAAATCAACATTTGCTTCAATTAATAAATTTAATTTCATAAAAATCTGAGRTTTATTACATATACTGTTGATAACTTCAGTAAAAATATTTAAAATGTGTTCAATAATATTATTAAAATTTTGGCTTGGTGATTTTAATCTGTTATCAGAATAGTTTCTAACACTAATTAGTCCATTAACATTAWGAATATCTACACAATMATTTTTGCATACATTACAATTATTAGTAGATTTAATTAATGTTCGAATTATATAGCCAGCTACATAGCCAATTGTCATTTCACCTACTGTAGATTTGTTGGGTTTTACAAATTCTACATTAAATGAATTCAAACCTAAATTTAATGAAACATCATTACCAATTATTTCATTTTGTCCGGATAAGAATTGTTTTAAATTGTCTAAAGCTCCTACACTATCATCTACCTCACAATTCCCCAATGACTTTAATGAAGAGAAATTATTTAAAAGTAATGTTTTAAATGATGTAGAAAAATGATAGCAATTGGGCATATTATTTCTGGATCCGTGGCTCCTAATAGATCCAAAGAAACATTCCAAAGAATCTTGATTAATATTCCTTAATATTAGAAACTTAAAACCTTCGGATTTTAATTTTAACCACAAGTATTTAAAAGATTCTAATGTTTTTATATAATTTTTTACACATATTGGTTGTCTTACAGCTGAGCCATCTACTTTACTCACAAAAACCATTGTTTTGAAAACCTTAATTGCTTCATTCCAAAATTGAATATGAGAAGATCCATTTTTAACTGCACATCTTAGGGGTTTGCCATCTAATGCATTAATTGTGGATCCATTCGTAGAATCAAACACCTTATCCATAAAAAGAMACAAATTAGATGTCCCCATTGAGCTGGATAGTGAACTATCAGAATCTAAATTTAAAATAATATATACTCGTATTAAAGTAAATTTWAAAAAAAATACAATATATTTCTTTATATAATATTTTGTACTATTTAGTATTTACCATAATTAGCTATAAGATGCATTGTTGAAGCTACTCGATGGCTGAAAACTTGTGCCGCAACTGATACACGCRTTTTTTTTATTTTAGATGGTWTTACATGTGATTCTGTTAATTTTGGCAAAGTGCGTAACTCATAAATTTCATTTTGTTTATCTAATCTATACAAAGTTTCAATATGGCTCCATGATGCTGTTTGATTCTTCCCATTATAATTAAAATTCAAATTTTTAGTCAATAAATTATTTCTCATACATTTCAAMAAATGTGGGGGATCATATAGAGGTACAATTTCTTCATCATTAATTAAAAATCCCATGTATCTATCTTCAATATTTTGAGTTTTACACCTGTGAATTCTTTCTTTTATAAGGATATTAATTGCAGCTTGATTTGTACATCCTTGGTCACAAACTGTAGCTTTTATTTTTAATCCTGTGGTTTGTACTGCAGAGATTATTTCTTTAATATAACATACAAGATCTTCAGTTTTTGTAGTACCAGAACAAAAGTAGTATGCAATTGGTTGTTTAAATTTTTTCCGTAGACCTCTTAACATAAACACAAGTACATGGTTGGCAAATTTTAGATTTTTTTCTTCAAAACCAAAAATAGAGTCACTTTTTTTATCATAGGTTAAGGTTGCATCTAATGCCATTTCATCGAAAAGCAACGTGCAGTACCTATCCAAAGTATTTAATTTTTGTGCTTGATGTTTTAAATTATTTATAATWTGGTCATTTATTCCAGTATTGAATGGGACTTTCTGTAAAAGGTTATAAAGTGTTTTTTTTGAAGGCAAAGCAAATACTGTCGATAAAAATTTGTAACCTTTAGGRGAATTTTTGAACATTGAAAGGGYCATAATTTTGTCATCTATACTATATCGTCTACCTTGCGGTTTCTTTTTTTGAGTTTTCATCTGACTCATAATGAAATTAAAAGTGCTTGTATTAACTTTATCCATTATTCGAGATGTAAAATTACTATTTGCAAATCGATTCACTAAATTTAGTTGACATTTAGCACTTTTATTTTGTTTTTGTAAACGCTCGGCTTTTCGTTTCAACTTCATGGCTTCTTTATATAATTTTTTACAGTTTGGGGTAAGTTTTCCTTTTCTGTTTAATTTTAATGGCTTTAATAACATGTYCTGATTAGATTCATTTTCTAGAGGCAGAATTCCATCTAAATCAGAGTCCACTGTAAATTATTAACAAAAATAAATTATTAAAAAATGTACATTGAATTAAATAAAGTTTCTATGTTCCTTACACTGGTTAGAAACACAAATTGTTCTAGATGTACATTGATGTTTACTACTTGCTGGTGTATGAAGTGGAGTTGAATGAGAAACACACATACCAACTTCTTGTTCGATATCTTGTAGCATTATTTCCACTGTGAACAACAATAAATAATTTATTATTTAGTATGAATACTAAAAAAAAAAACCATACCAAAACTATACCTAATGTAATAATGTAAAATACAAATGTTTAAGCAATTTCTTTTAAAAATGTCTGTTTCTATTTTCCTC